CAGCATTTATTCATTATGTTCTCATGTGGCTTGCACAAAAAATAGACTGTCAAGAAAATGTCATCTTTCACCCATTGTAGTCACAATGGTACAGAAAGGTGGCAAAGCTTCCTGAGGAGGAACAGAGTGTGTCCTCACTTCTGTCTGTGTGCATGTGCGGGAGTATATTTACATGTATATGTGTATGTCCATACGCACACAGAGGTATGCAAATAGGTATGTGTGTATTATATAAATATGTGGGCATGTATTTGCACACATACATATACAAAATCTCGTATTTTCTCCATAAAGTCCAGGGCAATAGGTAGAGATGATAATTATCATGTTACAGATGGGAAAGCAGACATGCAGTAAAATTAAGAGGTTTGCCTACATTCTCTTTCACTCGTTTTATTGTATTTGGAATATATACCAACCCAATTACTTCCAAGCAGCTATTTGCAACTGCATCAGTACCAACGGAGGATAGTGATGGCATTTTATGGACTGGTCCGGAGTCTCTACTCCACCAGGTCGCTCAGAAGGGGAAGAGTAATGTGGTCACATAGTTCTGTATTTAAATCCTGGCCCTGCCACTTACTTATCCATAACGTTGTGAAAGCCATACACCTTCTCGAAGGGTCAATTTTTTTTTTCACGTGCCAGACTGGGTATTGAAACAGGGCCTGCCCCGCAGAGTTGATAGGAGTCTTTAACAAGACCCCTGACTCACAGAGTGGAGCGTGGTACATGGCAGAGCCCGTGTCTCAGGGCTGGGAGGGATGCTCCTCACGAGATCTACAGTTCGGCCTCTGCTTTGTTTTTTTATGTGTATTATATACTATCTGGAAGAATAGCAAATTGGCCTTTCTTTTTTTTTTCTTAATTTTTTAATGTTTATTTATTTTTGAGATACACACACACACACACACACACACACACACACACACACACACAGTATGAGCAGGGGAGGGGCAGAGAAAGAGGGACACACCGAATCCGAAGTAGGCTCCAGGCTCTGAGCTGTCAGCACAGAGCCCGATGTGGGGCTCGAACTCATGAACTTTGAGATGGTGACCTGAGCTGAAGTCGGACACTTAACCGACTGAGCGGCCCAGGTGCCCTGCAAATTGGCCTTTCTTAATAAAATAAATACACCGTGGCTACTAAGAAGTCTGTGGTAAAATAATATCCCAGTGCATTTTTCTTTTTCAGGAGAAGCATCTGGCTTCTGCAGGAATAAAGAAAGAAATCTGCAAACCCTTTTGCAGAGACAGAAAAGCCCTATCATCTCCTTCACAGACCTGCAGGGAATGTGCAATGCTCTCTCCTTGGACATGGCAGGGAGACGAGCCTGAGGTTAGTTTAAACCCTGCATTTTGGAAAGGATGAATGTTATTTTTGAGTCTGGGTAACTTCAAAATAATTTGATTGCCTTCTGGGTTTTGTCTCATTAGGTAAAGGCAAAAAAGTTCTAGTTGCTTTTTTTGAACCAATATAGAGCTTGTGTTTTAATTAAAACAAGAACCAGGCTCATGACCAGAGGGGAAAATCAGGAAACAGAAAGCTCAGACGATGTAATAGGGCTACGGCTAGAGAATCAGAAAAACACTTGTGAACTTGGGCACCTTTTTTAAACGTATTGAGCATTTTCTTCCCCACTCCTGCCACTTTATCAGGAAACAGGTGTAAGCGCCATCAGAGATGGAGGTTATGGAATCCTAAAAGCAAAGGCATGTTTATGGGAGGCTATATTCTTTTTATGCCAGTGAATTAGCAAGTTGAACACATCTTGTTAAACGTCAGCATCGGAATCGTCTCCATTTAGCTCTTAAAGCGGTTGTAACATTCACTGCTCCTCGTTTACCTAAAGAGGCTGAGAACAATCATCTCAATATTGAAGAGGTCATCACTGCTTTCTCCAAGAAGTGATTATATAAGAACAATACGATTCTGGCACATGTAAGGGCTTGAACCTGGATCGGATGGAACTATGGTAAAACCCTGGATTGCGAGTAACTTGTCCTGCGAGTGTTCTGCAAGAGAAGCAAACATTTCTAATAAATTTTAACTTGATAAATGAGCGATCTCTCGCAGTACGAGTTGTACACAATGCCGGATGTCACAGGATCACAGCTGAACCAATGGCTCTTGAAATTCACTTTGATAGATGAGTGCTTTGGATTACAAGCATGTTTCCAGAATGAATTATGCTTGCAAACGGAGGTTTTACTGTATTATAAAATAACTTACCATATTATAGAGGTTGCCAAAGTAGAGCTTCTTTTAATTTCGTGTGGTTTAAGAAAAACCAGGATTGCTTGCCCTCAGTACTACCAATAATTTAGGCCGGGTAACTCTTTGCTGTAAGGGATGCTGTAGGGATCCCTGTGCACTTTATGTTGTTCAGAAGCATCCTCGATCTCTATCCACTAGATGCCAGGGGGGACACCTCCCCAGCCATGACAACCAAAAATGTCTCCAGGCATTGCCAAATGGTCCCCTGGGGGGTGGGTAAAATCAACCCTGATGAGGACCACTGTAATAGATTTAGAGAGGCAGTCAGGTGTTGTAGCCTGAAGCAGGTATCCCAGAGACAGATGGCTCCCCACTAGCAGGGTGGCCCTGGATAAGTTAGGTAACATCTCCATGCTTCAGAGTCCTCGTCCGTAAAATGAAAATCATGACAAGTTCCTGCCTCACTGGACTGTTGTGAGGATTAAGCAAGATAACGCCTCTCCCAGAGTGAGTGTTGGGCAAATGTTAGCCGTGATTGTTTCAACCATTCCACGCAGTATCATTTTTTCCCCCCTCTGATTTAAGTTTAAATGCAGGTTAAAGATCCAAACAATAGAACATCTTTAAAGGGGTGGGGGAAGGTTTGAGTGCAGTTACACAATTACAGATGGATAATCTTTATTTATGTTTCAGAGTGGTCAAGTTGTAGGAGCTCGACTATTACATAATCCCGTATCCTGATTTGCTAAACAGCGTGGGCTATTGCTTAACGTGGTTTATTATCTTTCAAGTGGAGATCCCTAATTCATCAAAATTATAGGCTGTTGCCAGATGATTCTTCTGTAAGTACAAATGCTCTATTGTATTTAAAAAAAAAAAAAAAAAAAAAAAAGTCCTGACATGATGCCTGGTTTTTTCCCTTGAGTTCTTTCTTCACCATTGGCCATATAAATATTATTGTTATTATTCACTGAAATAATAGCAAAAGCTACCATTTTTAAGGGCAACTTAACAGTGTGCCAAGCTGCGTGCTCCACATATATTATTATTTCACTCAATCCTCAACACAGCAGTAAAAGTTGGTGGGTATCTAGGAGAGGCAAAGTTACCGCTCTCCAGTCAGCACAGGTCAGAACAAGGCTGGAGCCCAACAGGGGCCTTCCAAACCCCAAGCTCCTTAAATGCTGCTTCATTATCAAAGCTAAGAGAGCTACTCTGAACTCCTAATCATAATGTATGTTTTTCTTTCTAAGACAGCTTCCACACTCCCTACATCTCCCCACATTATTCTTTACTTTCTTTGCTTCTCCCCACTAGGCTCAAAATACCTCGAGGTGAGGGGTGCCTGGGTGGCTCAGTTGGTTGACTGCTGAACTCCTGATTTCAGCTCTGGTTGTGAGCTCGTGCTCATGAGCTCGAGCCCCAAGTTGGGCTCTGTGTTGAACTTGGAGCCTGCTTGGGATTCTCCCTCTCCCTCTCTGGTCCTCTCCCCACTCTTGCTCTCTCTCTCTCTCTCTCTCTCTCTCTCTCTCTCTCTCAAAATAAATACACTTAAAAAAATACCTCAAGGTCAATGCTATAACAGAACCATGTTCTGAACACTTTTAAGTATAGTAACTTAAAAAAGAGAGAGAGACAGAAAGATAAGGTGGGAAGGAAGAAACTCACTTCGCATTGGTCTCAATGAGGATTAATAAAGATTGTCTGGAAGCTAAAATAGGGAGAGGTGGCATTCACATTTCCCTGGCACACCAAGAATCATCCAAGGTTGTATAAAGCACATCATTCATCAAACTCACCCGAGGAATCCAACCCTTGCGTACAGTATGCAAGTTTTACTTCAAAGTGAATAGCGAATAGCGGAGTAGAGAAATAACTTTGCCAGAGGTGTGTGAAAAGAAGCTTATCTTTTTTGACACCATTTCTAGTGGTGACCCAAAGCTCCATGCCCTGAGACAGTGATGAAAAGTAGGGTCAGCAATTGTGACCACGGAGGTCCTGGGAAGAAAAGTTATATGGCTAGTTTAGAAAGAGCACTCTTCTCATCACATATTCTGAGAGCCGGTTTATCTGGGGTTGTGAGCAGCCAACAAGGCTGCTGGCTGGCCTCGGAGGCAGAAATGACCGTGTGGCCTGAGATAAGTCACAGTCACTTCTAGGCAGGGTGCGTACAGAGGACCCCTCAGAGCCACGGTGAGATAGGCTGGAGGCAGCAAGAAGGTGGTGGCTCCTGACAATGAAGAAGTTCATCAGCTCAGAGCTTCACAGGATTAAACAGGGCCTCAGAGAGGAGCTGGCCCAGTCCTCATCAACACATGACTCTCAGTATTCCCCAATAGCATCCAACCTGTGCTTTGACACCTACAGTGCCTGGAAGGATTCCTCTTACTGTTTGTTCATCAGTGAACAACTTGGCCGTCGTGTCCTTGTGAGCTCCAGAGAAAGCTGGCTGCGGTAAAGCCAGTCCTATAAAGGGAATTATCACTGATAGGGTTGATCATGTGCTCTCTGCAGGCATTTCACAAATTTTCTTGGTGAATAATTTCGACAACAATTAGGAAGGGGGGAGCTCAATGAGGTCATATGCCTTTCCCACCCCGCCCCCACACACACCATGCCATACACACAATTAAGTGAGATTCACTTCTTGGTCCAGGGGACCCCAAAGCCACATTCCATCTGCCATCAACTGCTAAACGCGATTGGAAGAGTTCAGGATCCGCAGATTACAGGTAAAGGCAGAGCCTCCTGAAGCATTGTTTGCAAGAAGTATGACTTACAGATATATCATCACTGAAGTCAATTTCATCCAAATCCAGGTATTCAGGGGCTTCCATTATTCTTCTTTGCACATTTTGAGTAAAGTCAAATGTTTATAAAAGCTCTGGAAAAGACAGAAGCAAAAAAGAAAAGCCAAAGGGTTACTAGCTGTTTTACAACCAAAAATCCTAGGTCTGTTTAAACCAGCAAAATGAGTAGGGTAACTGGGTGCTAGCTCATTTCCTCTCTTTGGATATTACCCCAGGCCTGGCTTTCCAGAAGCAGGAAGCACAGCACCTCAGGCTCCCCAGGGAGCAGCCAGGGTCCTTTGTTTCACCTAGGTCTGTATTTGCCTGGGTTTGCTAGAGCCATAGCTCGGGTCAGACACTTCCCCGCTGACCAATATTAGGAGGCACCCAGCCCACAACCAGCACTTACCGCACCCTGGGTGAAAGCCTCAAAATCTTAGGATATTCACCCTAGTCCCCTGTTTACTGCGGGCATAGCCTTGGAAGCTGCACACGGCGCGGTAAATACCGGCTCCCCACAGGAATGACCCAAGTACACGACGGAGACCAACTAACCCACAGCAACGGATGCTTCAGACTCTATAGTACAACGTCCAGTTCCCCCACCCCCGCACCCCCGAAGCACAAAAAGGATCCAGGCAGAGATGGAAAGCACAGAGTCTGCGCACTGCTCCCTGCTCTTCACAGCTTTGCCTGTCTGTGCCACGGTGACCCACGCAGGCACCAGAATGTCCTCAGTCAGCACTTGCTTCGGGGCTGCCCGCGGCAATCCTTTAAATCTGTCAAGGAAGATACATCACCTCCCAGTTCATTTTCCCATCACTTATCATCATCACCATTGGCGGTGGCAGTGGCACCTACAGATGTCAAGAACAGAAATATAGATCTCCTGGCGGTGCCTTAGTGCACAGCATCTCTCGCACAGCCGCCTTGGAGATGGAAAAAGACCGCATTTCCAGGAACTTGTCTTTGGGATCACAGAAACTATCTTAGGTACGCAGACTGGAGCGTCGGAAATGATTTAATTTTTCCCTCGTTGGTTTTCTAATCAAGGGGAATCTTGATGAGATCAAGAAATAAGACGATTGGGGCACCTGGGTGGCGCAGTCGGTTAAGCGTCCGACTTCAGCCAGGTCACGATCTCGCAGTCCGTGAGTTCGAGCCCCGCGTCGGGCTCTGGGCTGATGGCTCAGAGCCTGGAGCCTGCTTCTGATTCTGTGTCTCCCTCTCTCTCTGCCCCTCCCCTGTTCATGCTCTGTCTCTCTCTGTCCCAAAAATAAATAAAACGTTGAAAAAAAAAAAAAAGAAATAAGACGACTAAGGAATACATTATTGGAAAGTGGAAATAAATCCAGGCTGATAAAAATGGGTTTCTTAAGTGTAAGACTGAGAGTGTAAAAATGCCTGTTTTTGAAAAGGGAACTCTTACTCCGGGGGCATTGCTTTCTCATTTTGAGGCATTCTTGTTGTTGTTTTTGTTTGTTTTTAAGTTACACAAATGGTTTAATTACAATAAATGGGGGGGAGGGAATCACTTGCTATCCATAACTCAGAACCATCAGCTGATTTAATTCTCAGTATTTCCTCTTCTTCTCTTCCCACATGCATAAACCATTTTTACACATATATTTAAGCTTATTTATAAGTTTTATGTATTCTCTTATTTATTATTTATTTTGTGTGTGTGAGAGAGAAAGAATGAGAGGTGCAGGGGCAGAGAGAGAGGATTCCAAGCAGGTTCTGTGCTGTCAGGGCAGAGCCTGATGCGGGGCTTGAACCCATGAACTTTGGTATCTTGCCCTGACTGAAATCAGAATTGAATGCTTAACCAACTGAGCCACTCATGCACCTTTCACATATTTTTAATTATAATGGATACAGAGCTGATCCAAGAAAGGATTAGGATGTTACTACCATGTTCAAATGAGATTACCCATTGAGAATTTTTTTTAATGTTTATTTATTTTTGAAAGAGAGAGAGAGAGAGAGAGAGTGCGAGCATGAGTGGGGGAGGGGCAGAGAGAGAGGCAGACACAGAATTCAAAGCAGGTTCCAGGCTCTGAGCTGTCAGCACAGAGCCTGATGTGGGGCTCGAACCCATGAACCACGAGATCATGATCTGAGCCAGTGTCAGATGCTTAACCGACTGAGCCACCCAGGTACCCCTAAAAGTTCTTCTGAAATCACGTTAAAGTTTAAAATGAAAATGAAAAGAAAATTAATTTGTATTTGTTATATACATATATAATATTGCAAATCAAGATTACATATTAATATTATTAACAAAATTGTAATAATTTCACAATAATCATGTTAATTATCCTAATAATAATGGATTTTAAATAATGACAATACATGCTGCTAGTATATATTTATATATCTAGTAATATAATATTTGTTATATATATATATCCCAGATATATGTATATATAGATATATACATATCCAGAAATCTTAATGTTTATAAGAAATCTTAAAAGAGGTCCTTAAGTAAATTGCTTGTACAAAAATCTATCACTTCAATCCTCACAAAGATGTGCAGAGAAAAATATACACACTCATACTTGCAAATTACACAAAATAACTCTCTTCCATTCTGGTGGATTCTGGGACAACCCAGGCTATCTGGATTCTAGCTCGTCAGCTAACAGACTTTCTTCCAGTCTAATTTCTTTTCGCTACATCTGTGCTCCACGTTGAATTGTTGACATACGGACTCTAATCCTATGGTCTTGGTGAACACATGATAATAGTGGGAGTGAGGACGGCACACAGACAAAAGCATATCACCAGAAACGTGGATACATGGGGAGAAGCAGCAGAAAACCATGCATCAAAGCCAGGGATACAGTGGATCTCTAAGTACCTAGAAATACAGACCACATATAAAACGCGTATGAACACGTCTTACCGAAGCAAATTAACAAGTAATCAGTGAGCCCCTATTTGAGGTGTTCTGATGATATAAAGAGCAATATCTACTCTAGTGCAGCCATTCTAATGGGACACAGCCAGTGGATGATATAAAGCATGACGTTAAAGCAGACAATCTTTACACTACACTTGGAGATGGTAGTGAGATTCTTTTTTTGTTTTTAATGTTTATTTTTGAGAGAGAGAGAGAGAGTGGGGGAGGAGCAGAGAGAGAGAGAGGGAGACAAAGGATCCAACGCAGGCTCTGGGCTGACAGCATAGACCCCAGTTCTGGGTTCGAACTCACAAACCTTGAGATCATGACCTGAGCTGAAGTTGGACGCTTAACTGACTGAGCCACCCAGGCGCCCCAGCAGTGAGATTCTCTATTCCGTAGGCCAGAACACAAGTTATAAGAGTTCCAGCTCATGAGAGGAAGACCTCAGCCACTGCACATAATTATCTTAATGGGCTGGGTGGTCCAGACTCAGATCAAGGGGTCAAGGCATCCAGGACCCTTCTCTACTCCTAATGGGCTTCCAGATGCAGTCATCTCCTTAAGATGCCTTATTTTCTCTACCTCCCAGTTCCTCTTGTCTGGTTTCAGTGCTTCTCTCTTTCCAGGGGCTACCTTGAAAGTGTTACATCCTCGTTTGTAAAAGTGCAGAAATGCCCATGGTTCACCGATCCGGCCATGTTTCCAAAATTCATTGCTCCTTTTCAGTAGACAGCGAGGCTACAGTTGTCCCAAGGGATCATGACATTGCCCCGCCCTCTGCATCTGCCCTTCCACGGGGCACCTGGCATGGCTGGACACTCCCTTCCGAGGAATTGGGGATGAGATGGGAAGGGATGAGGTCAGCTTAGAGCGGCTGCGGGTAGTCTTCCAACACGATAAGGAAACGGAGCTGGGCTGCGGGCGCTTTTCTCATCCTGCTCTAGGGACACCGTCCCACCGCACACACCAGCCCACAGTGGAAAGCAGTGGGCCCCCTTTCCTGACCACATGCTTTAAGGGAATACACAGCTACAGAGGACACACATAGGATGCCCCCGTGAGTGGAGTCTGGCCCACAGATGTGATGTGTCTGGCTCTAACAATGTTTTTTAAAAAAACCGAGTTAGTTGCCAATTTGTAGACCTTGGGTGATTTCACATAAAATTCTGGATTTCTGGCTTTGCTTTAAAAATATCTGAAGTTCTGGCCAACACGGATCCATACTCCCCATGACAACAACTGGCTACAGCTGAGCTGCCTCAGAGACAGGCTTGTGCTCCCCAGTTCACCAGCTCCCCTGCTCTCCTCACTGAGCCCTGCCTGGCCTTGGGGGCATCTGAATGTGTGATCCTTGGAAGGAATTCATTATGAAACAATAAGGACCATCACCACCCCTTTCTGTTAGTGCCTCCTGACAAATCATGTTTATTTCATTTGTATTCCAAGACCAAATTTGTATTCTGAGATTGTTTTAAATTCTCATGCCACAACAGCAACAATTTCTTACAAAAAAAAAAAATTACCAGCTTGTTACGATTCATACTTTTGTGGAGCCTCCATTTGCTCTAAGGTCTAGAGAAAGAAAACCTCCACCAAGGTCATAAAATGTTGCAAGGTGGGGACTGTGTTTCCTTCACTTCACCCCGGAGGAAGGAAGGGTTCTTGCTTTGTTGAAATCGGTGTTGGAGATTTTCGTGAGATTTACGGGAGCCACTTCACTGTTGTGACCAGAGGCAAGGGTGCCAGCTGTGTCAAGTGCAAACACATACATACACACACACACACACACACACACACACACACACACACACACACACAAAACCAAGGCCACCCTCCATCTGGCCAGGCTAGCAGCTTGGATGTAAGAGAGCTAACCTTATGCAGGGCCGACCAGAGTGGGTTTGCACTTAGGTGAAAAATATATTTCAGCCTCCCCAGAAAGGGCAGTCGAGCTTAAAATCCTTTACATGAAATTTTTATTGCTATGCATCATAGTTGGCCTTGGGCACCTGTGAGATCTCGAAACCTGGTCATTTATAAATTTGTTCCGTTCCCCCTCCCCATCAGTCCTCACCCTCCAAGCGGCAGTCACCTGTCCCAGATTCTCTGAGGTCCTAAGGGCTTTCTTTTGTAATGCTGTCCCCCTTCACCCCACACACCTAATATTTTTTTTTTTACGTTTAT